CGCCCTCATGACTGCCATTTCGGCACACACACACACACACACATCACGCATGTCCTGCTCCACTCGGCGGTGGACAAACCTCCCTTTAGCAAACCTCCCCTTAGTGAAAACGGCCTGAGACTGAAACCGACGGACCTGAAGCCGCAAAAATGACGGCCGCGACGCCCCCATCGCGAACCGAAAACGGCCAATTCCTCACTCGACGCGTCAGGGTTGGAGGCCTGTCCACCCCCGATCCACACTCTGCTGGGGCACGCGAACATGCGAGCGATGTGCGCTCCGAGGCCCTTCGACCCCCCACGAGACGCCACCATGGAAGCAAGCTTTTCCCTGGGGGCCGGCCGTGCCTCCCGCTCCGCGGGCTTAATAAAAAGCGCGCTTCGCCCTGCAGAGGCACAACGGACCGAAGTCCATCAAAAAAAACATGTGTGCCTTGGGGGTGCCTATCTCGGACCCAGATGCTGCGCGCCCACTCCTTGCCCTCGCGGACCTCTTTGATTCCCACTGATTTCTCTGCAGAGTCTCTGTATATATAGATATATAGGTATACGAGAGAGCGTGATCCACCGCCGCTTTACCGTGGAAAGTTCCCCCCCTCTTCCTCTGGAGCCTGGGGGCCACCCCCCCCTCCGAAACCCCCCCCCTGCAGGACCCCCCCCTTCCCCCCCCCCCGGCCAAACCCCCCCCCTCCCCCCGACCCCCCCCCCCCCTCGGAAACAGAAGGGGGTCACTACCGTTTCGAGCCCTTCCCCCCGCCCCCTCCTAAAACCAGAGAGGGGTCACTACCGGTTCGACCCCCCCCTTCCAGAAAACCGAGGGGGACTCACTACCGTTTCGACCGCCCCCCCCCTTCCCCCGTCGAAAACCGGAGGGTGGTCACGACCGGTTGGAAATCCCCCCCCTCTCGAAAACCTGGGGGGTCACTACCGGTTCGAGACCCTCCCCCCCCCACGCTCACCGCCAGCAAACAACCCTGGGTCCCTACCACCGTCCGCACCACATCCCCCACTGCTGTCCCCAGCACCGCTGTCTTCACCACCACCGTTCCCACTGTTCCCACCACCGTCACCACTGTCCTCACCAGTGTCCCCCACCACAGTCGCACTGTCTCCACTGTCCCCACCACTGTTCCCACCACGGTTCCACTCTCCCCACTTTCTCCACGGCCCCAACCACCGTCCCACTGTCCCCACTGTCCCACTGTCCCCCGCCGCTGTCCCACTGAGCTGTCCCACTGTTCCCACCAGTGTCTCCCCACTGTCCCCATTATCCCACCGCCGTCCTCGTCACCGCCCTCACCACTGTCGCCAACATCGCTGTACCCTCCACTGCCCCACTGCTTCCACAACATTCCCACTGTCCCCACACCACTGTCCCCAACACCACCGTCCCCACCACTGTCCCACTGTCCCCACTGTTCCCACCATTGTCCCCGCTGTCCCCACCAGTGCCCCCATCAGTGTCTCACTGTTCCCACTCTCCCCACAATTGTCCCACCACGGCCCCACTCTCCCCACTTACCCCACACTCCCCACCACAGTCCCACTGTCCCCACTGTTCCCACCACTGTCCCCCTGTCCCCGCCGCTGTCCCACTGTGCTTGGGTCAGAACATGTTGCTGTGAGAAACATAGATTGAACCATAAACGATTCCGAAACAAATGTGTTAAAGGTAAAAAACGGGTTTCCTTATATCCCTCTGCTTCATCACCTAAATGTAACAACCTGTTTTAAAATAGCCAAAAATTTCAAAAACCAAACAAACATCAACTTGTTATGCATTTACGTGTTTTACTATCCCCCCAAAAAAAAAAAAAAAAAAAAAAAAAAAAAAAAAAAAAAAAAAAAAAAAAAAAAAAAAAAAAAAACGTATGTGTTCTGGTTTTCTGGTTATGTTTAACCATTAAACATATGTGTTCTGGTTTTGTTTAACCATTATGCTAACGTGTTGGGTGGTAAACAAGTTTGCGCGACTTTCCGGTGTCACTGTAAGTTTGACTTCAAAGGCAGAGCCAGAGGCAGCAACCGAGTAATAATGCAACTGTTGTTCATGTTTACTGTTGTGTGGCATGTATGTTCGTTGTTGTTATATGGTTGTGCTTCTTATTTCTTGTTTGTTTTAACAAACTTCCATATTATTTGGTTCATGGTCCCGAATCAAAACTTAAACCAAATGTAAAATTTTGCATATTGTGTAAAATTCATCTTATATTTCAAAAGCAAAACCTACAATAAGAAACCAACAAGCACAACCTTTACCTGCACTGTCCCACCACTGTCCTCACCACCGCCTTCACCACTGTCCCCACCACTACCGTCCCCAGCACTGTCCCACTGTCCCCACCACTGTCCCGCTGTCCCCTCGCCATTGTCCCCACCACCACCGTCCCCACCACTGTCCGCACCACCGTCCCATTGTCCCCGCACCACTGTCCCCACCACCACCGTTCCCACCTTTGTCCCAACATCCCCACCACTCTCCAACTGTCCCGAGGAGCGGGCATCGTTTGCCGGCGGCGAGGGAGGGCTGGGGGAGGGTTCGAACCGGTAGTGACCCCCCCCGTTTTCGAAGGGGGGGGGTTCGGACCGGTAGTGACCCCCAGCGGTTTTCGAGGGGAGGGGGGGGGTCTCGAACCAGCAGTGACCCCCCCCCCTTTCATGATGGACTGGGGGGGGGGCCGAACCGGTAGTGACCCCCCGCCGGTTTTCTAGGGGTGGGGGGGGGGACAGGCTAGGAACCCGGGGGCTGGCCCCCCCCCCAACACTCGGCGCCGTCGATCAGATCCAGGGGGACCCCCCTCCCCCTAACCCCTCTCCCTCCCGACCCCCCCCCCTCCCCTCCCAAAGAAGGGGGTTCAAACCCACCCCCCTCGGCGCCGGCGCCGGCGCTGGCGGCCGCCAGCAGCGCCGACGGTGGGGACGCAGCGACGATGACCAGAGGTAGCCCACGGAAGGGGGGGTCCAACCCCCCCCCAGACACCCCGCGCCGGCGCCGGCGCCGGCGCTGAGGGCGACCAGCAGCGCCGACGGCGAAGACGCAGCGACGATTACCACCACTACCAACACCACCACCACTTCCACCACCACCTTCACCACAACCCACCACCACCACCACCAACCCACCACACAACCTCCACCACCACCACCGCAGCCACCACCACCACCACAACCACCACCCACCACATCTCACCACCACCACCACCACCACCACAAAAACCAGCCACCATTACCACCACCACCACAATCTACCACACCACCACCACCACCGCCACCACCACTACAAGCAGCACAACCCACCACCACCACCACCACCACTACAAACCACCACACCACCGCCACCGTCACCACCACCACCACCACCTCCACAAACCACCGCCACCACCATAACACACTACCACCACCACCACCACAAACCACCACCACACCACCACCAAACCACCACCACCACTACCACCACCACAACCGATTACCACCACCACCACCAACAACACCACAAACCACCACCACACCACCACCAAACCACCACCACCACCACCACCACCCACCACCACTACCACCACCACGACAAACCACCACACAACCACCACCACAACCACCACCACCGCCACCACCATCGCATACACCATAACCACTACTACCACCACCACCACAAACCACAACATCACCACCACCACCACCACCACCACCACCACCACCACCACCACCAACAACAACAACAACAACAACAACAACAACCAACAACAACAACCACGACAACCACCACCGCCGCAACAAACCTTCACCACCACAACCACCACCACTGCCACCACCACCACCACCACAACCCACCACCACCACCATATCAACTGCCACCACCACAACCACCACGACAAACCACCACACCACTGCCACCACCACATTAACCCACCACCGCCACAACTACCACCACCACCACCAGAAACCCACCACCACAACCTGCCACCACAACCACCACAACAACCACCACCACCACCAACCACTACCACCACCATCACCACAACCACCGCCACAACCACCACCACCACCACCACAGCCCACCACCACCACCACCACCTCAGAGAGGCCCCAAGAGACGCCCAAGAGGCGCCCAGGAGGTTGCACAAATGATCTTCAGAGGCCCCCGAGAGCCCTCCGACGAGACCCCAAGAGGCATCCATTAGGACTCTGACCCAAACTAAGGCACGGTGGCGGAGTGTCGTCGTCGTCGTCATCGTCGCCGCCGTCGTCCTCGTCGACGCTCCCCGCCGCCGCCGCCCGCCGCCGCAGGCGCCTGCGCCGGCCCAGAAAACGAAGTCGTCGTCCCCGCCGCCGCCGTCAGCCGCCGCCGACGCAGGCGCCGGCACGAGGAGAGGGAAAGAGGAGAAGTAGGGGAGGAGGGGGAGGGGAAGGGGAGGGGAAGGGGGGGGGGTCGAAACCCCCTCCCCTCCGTCACGGGAGGAGGGGGGGGTTCGAAGTTCGAACCCCCCCCGATCCAGGAGGGGGGGGGTGCGGTTCCAAACCCCCCCCTTCCCTCCAAGCGACCACAGAACGCGCTCTGTCAGATTTCGGAAAAAACGGTCAAAGACAGGCCCTGACACTTCCAAGAACCACTATCGGCGGCGCGCCCTGGGGGAAGTGAAAGGGATAGGGCCTTCTCAGAAGGCGGCGGGGCTTCTCAAGCCCCACCGGGCCTTCTGACCACTTTGCTGTGCCTTCGGGGGAGGCCACGGAAACTTCTCGGAGGGCCCGAGGCCTCCCGAGCCTTCTGAGAATCGGAGCCACGCAAACATGTGTCGGGGGAGGAGCCCTCCCCCAAATGCGGCCGGTGCCGCCCCGCTCGGCGGCGGAAATCCGCGGTTTCCCATGGAAACGGGACCCGTCGCGAATCCAAGCCCCCTTGATCCATGTTTGCGATCGCCTGCGAGAAGGCCCGGCCAGCCTCGCTTCCCCCCCGCCAGGCCCGCCGCCGACACGAAGGCCCCGCCCCACCCCCCCGGCCCCAACCGCGCTGGCGTTCGCCCGCTTCTCGGCCGCCTGCTGGACCGTCTCCTCCGCGGCTGCGGCCTCTGGGCCCCCCCCGCGCGGCGCACTGGATTTACACTACGTGTGCGCGTGCACATAAAGATACAGTCGGGGCCTTGACCTAAGGAACCCTAAATAAGGAACGAGGCCCCTAAAAACCTAAGGTAAATCCAAGGCCAGCTGTGAAACACTTAAGGAACGCGGAGCCCCTCCCCAACGAAAAGGGTTCCTTCTTCAGGGCCCCGACTGTAAACATATGTCCAGGGCGCGCAAGCATGGATCAGCGATCCATGGATTTGGCGCGCTCCCCCAAATTGCGGCCGGTGCCGCCTCGCTTGGCGGCGGGAATCCGCGATTAAGGTTCCTGCTGGACTGCTGAATTGTGTTAAGTACGTGCGTGGTGTATTCTTGAATTGACTCTTGTCTCTCGATGTTTAACTCTATGTCACTTCCACTTCTCAACGAGAGGCGACTCTAAACAGGACCGCTCATCGCACGAGAACGCATTCAGGGGTCTGCAGCACCCTGGAACGCTTCGCCAAGAAACGTCAGGCCACACCCAGACTTCCCCATTCGCGCACGCATTCTCACGACTCGGATCGCAAATTGAAGTCAACGATGGACGCCAGTGAGGCGGAAAAGCGTGAAGGGTGTGCCGAAACGGCCGCGGCGGGCCGCCACGATGATTTCCGCACACACCTCACGCACCCAGTGGGGCCTGAGGTAGAGCGCCCTGCGGTGGCAGGGAACGTGTGAGGGGTGTACCGAAATGGGCGCGGCGGTGTCTTGCGAGCGCAACAAGTGGGGCCCCAAGGAGGAGGAGGAGGAGGAGAAGGAGGAAGAGGAGGAGGAGGAGGAGGAGGAGGAGTGGGAGAAGAAGGAGGAGGAGGACGAGGAGGAGAAGGAGGAAGAGGAGGAGGAGGAGGAGTGGGAGAAGGAGGAGGAGGAGGACGAGGATGAGAAGGAGGATCCTGGTGAAAGGTCTATCGAAGCAGGCGCGGCGGGGCCATGCCATGCGAACGCTCCCAACGGGGGGGGCCCAGGTGGAGCTCCCTGGCAGACAGGGAGCGCGTGAGGGGTGTGCTGAAATGGGTGCGGCGCCGCCATGCGAACGCACCCACGGAGGCCCCAGGTGGAGCTCCCTGAGAGGACGGGAAACGTATGAGGGGTGTGCTGAAAGTGGGCGCGTGGGGCACTAGACTGGGCTCCCTGCAGCGGCAGGAAACACGTGAGGGGTGCGCCGTGTGAGGTGTGTGCTGGAACAAGGCGCGTGAGGGGGGAGACAAAATTGGCAAGGGCCAGAAGAGGATGAGGAAGAGGAGAGGGAGGGGGAGGAGGAGGAGGAGGAGGAGGAGGAGAGGAGGAGGAGGAGGAGGAGGAGGAGGAGGAGGAGGAGGAGGAGGAGGAGGAGGAGGAGGAGAGGAGGAGGAGGATGGAGGAGGGGGGGGGGAGGGGAGGAGGAGGAGGATGAGGAGGAGGAGGAGGGAGGAGGAGGAGGAGAGGAGGAGGAGAGGAGGAGGAGGAGGAGGAGGAGGAGGAGAGGAGGAGGAGGAGGAGGAGGAGGAGGGTATGAGAATGAGAGTGAGAATGACCGCAGGGCGACGATTGAGGAGGAAAGAAGGGAAAGGAAAGAAGGTGGAAAAGGAGGAGGAGGAGGAGGAGGAGGAGGAAGAAGAGCACCAGTGTAAACCCAAGGGGTGCCAACGATGTTGCAATACATTCTCCCTCAAAATTCCCTCTTTTCATTGCAGGAAGTGGCCCTTTGAACCATCACCGTCCGAAGAACTCCAAAAGCAGACTCCAACAAGGGAGGCAGGGAGGAGGAGAAGGAGAAGGAGGAGGAGGAAGAGGAGGAAGGAGGAGAGGGGGAGGAGGAGAAGGAGACGCGCGGCGCTGCGGATGCAAAACGAGGGCCCAACACACAGGAGGGAGAAGAAAAAACACTGCGGGGGGGGGCTCAAATCCCTGGCCGCTCCAGGGCGGCACCGCACGGCCAGGATTGCTCAGGAGGTTTTTAGAGAATGGCGCCGAAGAGCTCCAAAGAGGGCCTCGAGAGCCGAAGACAGCGACAAGATAACCCCAAGATGCCTCAAAGACGGCCCAGGAGGGCCCCAAGAGGCTCTGAATCCGTTCTAGGAGGGCGCCCGCAGGACCCCCAAAATGGCCTCCAGAAGCGAAGATGGTTGAAGCCCAGAGGCCTCCGAGATGGCCCCGAGAGCGCCCAGGCAGGAGGCCCCGAGATGGCCCAAGAAGCGCCGTAGCCAACCCCAGAACTGATGGGTCAGTGTTCCACCACCACCACCACCACCACCACCACCACCACCACCACCACCACATGTAGGACGGGGGCAGGGGGGGGATGAGGAAGTCCTCCTCCCTTCCCCCTCCCCCTCCCCCTCCTCCTCCTCCTCCTCCTCCTCCTCCTCCTCCTCCTCCTCCTCCTCCTCCTCGCCCCTCTCCTGCCTATGGTGGTAGCAGTGGTGGAAGATCGGCCCATCAAGAACGACCCACGCGGGCACCAGAACGCCCCAAGACTCCTCCCGGGCGGCCGCGGAAGGGACCCCCGGCAGGGCCCCGAGGGGCGGCCCCGAGACGGCCTCCAGACGGCGCCAGACGGCCCGCCCGCCCGCCTGCGACGCCCGGCGGCCTCCGGGGGCGCAGCTCGGGCCCCCGGGCGGCCGCCCGGGACGAGCTGGGCATCGCCAGAGAGCTCTCGACCAGGCGCAGCCGCTGGGCAGTCGCGCGGCGAGGGAACGTCCCAGGACCAACGAGGGAACGTTCTGCCCCCCCCTCCCTCCCCTTCTTCGACGACGACGCAAAGTCCCTGTCGCCCCTCGGGGACTCGGCGCCGAAAGGTGTGGCTTGCGACCCGCGCCTGGGGGGTGCGGGCGAGGACCTCGACGGAGATCTCTGCCGCGCCCGGGGAGAGGGCTCATTAAAAACGTTGGCGCCTCGCGGTGACCCCCAAGCCCAAACGGCGCCGATCGCAAGACACACCCCGCCGTCACCACGCCCAAGCCGAGGAGGGCCCCGCCACGCGCGCGGAATCCCCGCCGCGCTCCCATCCTACACAAGCAGTGCCGCGCTGGCTAGGGATCCAAGGGTGGATTTGAGTTGTTTCAGGCACCTCGTTCTGAGCACCCCATATCCCCCAGGACCCCGTCTTTGAAAACCGCCAAAACAGAAGGGCCTGGTCCCTAGGCTTAGGTCGGGCGTGTCCCCCTACAGACGGGTTTTGGACGAAAAAATTATGAAAAAATACTCAATTTGGCAAAAATGCTCAGTCCCCAGATTTTGATTATTTTTGAACACTCCTCCTGTAGACGGACATGCCCGACTGAACCCTAGGCTCGACCACGTGGAACCGCCTGGCCGCAGTCGGCACGAATCAGAAGGACGCGCGATACTGACGCAAGGGCCCTGGACGCCCGTTTCGAGGCTTCTCGAGCGGGGACGCGGCCGACGAAGTGGCCAGGGATGGACCGAGGAGGCAAGGATGCGAGGGTACCCTTGGGAAGGTTGCCCATCCTTGCTATGCGATTTGACTGTAGGCTCGGAAGAGGGGGGGAGGAGGAGGAGGAGGAGGAGGAGCAGGAGGAGAGAGGAGGAGGAGGGAGGAGGAGAGGAGGAGGAGGAGGAGGAGGAAGGAGGGAGGAGGGGGGTGAGGAGGGAGGGTACCCTTGGGGAGGGTTGCCCATCCTTGCTATGCGGGTCGACTGTTGCGGATTTTGGAAGGCATGTTGTTTTCTCAATGAAAAAACACCCAAATTGAGTGGCCCCCAGACTCTACTTCCTTACTACTCTTGCATACCCCTCCTGTAGAGGGGCATGCACGACTCAGGGCTACTCCCTGCCTGCGGGCCGAGACCCCCGGGAGGGGCTCTCTTTTCGGTCCCCGCCTTGACCGCCGCGCCGCCGGGGCCGGGCTTCTTCTTCTCGGGCTGCAGGGCCGCGTGCGCCTGGGAGAAGGCAGGGAAACGCGCTGGCCTCGCCTCGCCCCCCCCCCCGCCTCCCTCGCCATCTCCATTGAGAATCCTGGCGCCGTACCTTTTGAGGAGGAGGGGGAGGAGGAGGGGGAGGAGGAGGAGCGGAGGAGGAGGAGGAGAGAAGGAGGAGGAGGAGGAGGAGGAAGAGGAGGAGGAGGATGCCTCCTAGATGGAATCGGAGCAGATGGGGTCGGAAGATCGCGCCGCATCGCCGACACATCGGCGATGCATCGGCGATGCACCGGAAAGGCACCGGCGACGCCAGCGTGGAGAGAATCGGGCTGCACATCGAGCCGCATCGCCAATGCATCGCCGATGCGGCGCGATCCCCCGACCCGGTCTGCTCGGAACTCATCCAAGAGGCCTAGAGCCTCCCCCGCCGCATCGCACAACATCTCGACCGGAGCCCCGGAGGACGAGGAGAAGGAGGAGGAGGAGGAGGAGGAGGAGGAGGAGAGGAGGAGGAGGAGGAGGAGGAGAAGGAGGAGGAGGAGAAGGAGAAGGAGGAGGACCCCATCCAAGAGGCCTGCAGTCTCCCTCGCTGTCTCCCTGTGAGAATCCTGGCGCTGCAGCTGCTGCCGCACGGAGCGCTTCCGCCCAGACTCGGGCCTCGCGAGGCCCTCACAGACCGATCCAGCCCGAAAAAAACGAGGCAGATGGGGTCCTCATTCTCCTCCTCCTCCTCCCTCCTCGTCCTCCTCCTCCTCCTCCTCCTCCTCCTCCTCTGGTTAATGACAACATGTACCAATATAATACAATATGTGATGTAATATAATATAATACGGTATAATATAATATAATATAATGTAATATAATATGATATGATATAATATAATATAATATAATAAATGTAACCATATGATAATATATACCATATAACAGTACACTGTAACATAACATAATGTGTAAAACCTATAACAATGAAAAACAATGAAACATACTAAAACAAGTCATGGTCTGATAAGATATACGATAATATAATATACCATACTAATAAATACGATGACAAACTATAACAACATAGAATGTAACAACTATACTACAATACCATATAACACAATAATTGATACTATATACTACTATAATATGATATGACATAATACAACGTAACATATTAGAATATAATATGAAATAGCGTAATATAACATGATATATTGAATACCATATAGTAAAGACAATGCAATATGTACGTATATATACAATAAAAAAATCATATAATACAATGTAACATGATATAATATGATGTATAACAACGTAATGTAATTTAATATGATATACTGTGATATATACAGTATAACAGAATACACTACCATATAAGATAGCATAATATAGTGTAATAGCCACCGCGCGGCGGCTGCGGGCCAACACGGGAGGGATGCCGCTCCCCCCGCGCGGTGGCCCATGGGGCCTACCATGCGAGGCTCCAGTGGCCAGCCATCGATGACGATGACGATGACGATGACGATGACGATGACGTTGCTCGTCGTCGTCGTCGTCTTCGTCGCCTGTTGCTGATCGAAGAAAGGCGAAAGGAACGACCGTGCCGAAGCCGGGAACGGTATGGACTCGCGATCACTTGGGCGGTAGGTTGAGCGCCTGATGGGGCACGACCCGCATGAGGCCTATACCGATTCGAGGCGTGGACGGAAACTGAGCACGCTCACCAGTGGCAGTTGGTGAAGCTCCCGAAAGCGCGCGATCCGCGCGAGAAGCTCCCCGACGCCCAGCCACCTCTGCCTGCCGCTCGTGCCTTCTCCTCTGCTTGCCCCTCCTCTTTTTTGCGTTGCACCTAGTCTAGCTACCGCTGTCTATAGCAACTGCACTAGGTCAAGACTAGGCCGACTTAGGCACAGTGACATGAGAAGCTCCTCCTCCTCCTCCTCACTCTTCCTCCTCCTCCTCCTCCTCCTCCTCCTTCTCCTCCTCCTCTTGCTCCTCCTCCCATTCCTCCTCGTGACCCTTTCCTGGGCCAGTTCGCCTCGAGATAAAGACGATGGCCTCGCTTGCGGACCAAGCCCGTACTCCACCTTGCCTCCGGTACGCTGTGCATGTCAGAACGCCGTTGGCTGTCTGGTGATGATGTCTTCCTTCGTGCTTCGACACCCCCTTCATCGCCCGCGCTTCAAGCGACCGCCCTCCTATGCTTGCTCCCAGGCGGAGGCGCTTTTCGGCCCCAAGATGGCCCCATGACGGCCCAGAGCAGGCTCGAGACGGCACGACGACTCCTCCAAGGCTCTGCGAGAAGCAGCCAAGAGGCGCCAAAGGAGGCGCCCAGCGAGGCCCTGGGAGGTCAAACACAAAGAAACAGATGACGAGGTGTTGTGTGGTGCCTCGGAGGCCTGATTCGTCTGAAATGGTCTCGGGAAAGTTTCCGAGAGCCTCGAGATGTTCCTGAGACTGCCCATGGCAGCCATAACAGGGTCCCAGGTCGGTCCCAAGATGGTCCGCAAATACCCAAGGATGATCCAGGACGACCCAAAAGAGCGCCGAGACGGCCTAAAGGCCCGCCCAAGCGGCCCCAACATGAATCCAGCAAGCCGCTGCAGGAAAGCTCGGTAGAAACATCGCGCCCGCCCAAGACGGTCGCTGAGGGGGCGCCCAACACGCCACCAGCAGGGGTCCCCCAGAAGTCCCCGAGGGGCCCCAAGGAATCTGCAAGTCGCCTTCAAAAGGAAGCAAGGGGGGTATGGGAGATGATGAAGGCAGTGGAAAGGCAGTGGAGGAGGAGGAGGAGAAGAAGGAGAAGAAGAAGACGAATGAGACGAAGAAGAAGAAGAAGAAGGAGAAGAAGGAGAAGATGAAGAAGAAGAAGAAGAAGAAAAAGAAGAAGAAGAAGAAGAAGACGGAGGAGGAGACGAAGAACAATAATGATGGAGGTGGTGACTGCCCGATTCCCATCTCTGCCGAGCCTACGGGGCACGCCCAGCGTCCAGAGGCTGTGGCTGGCTGGCGGAGCCGCCTCGCCAACACGGCCGGCGCCTTCCCGCGCCTTCCCGCGCCTTCGCGCGCCTGGCTCTGGCGTCATTCGGGTGGTGCTTGCCGTCGGGTGCAAGGTTTCTCCGAAGGGCTTAGGCGACTCCTCCTCCTCCTCCTCCTCCTCCGCCTCCTGAATTCCTCCTCCTCCTCCTCCTCCTCCTCCTCCTCCTCCTCCTCCTCCTCCTCCTCCTCCTCCTCGGGTCGCCTACGGCCCCGGGGGACACCGTGCGCCGTCGGGTGGGCATCTGGGTCAATTGGGAGCTCCGTCCATCGGCGGCCGTCAGGCAAATCCCCCTGTGGGCACACCGCCAGGCGACAGTAGGGGGGAAACAAACCTACCTCGCTTTTGACCACCCTCGCTTCCAAGAGATACCAAACGATGCCAAATTGCAGCCTGTACTGGTCAGGCCGCTTGACGAGGAGGCGCGTGGTATGGCTTGGTTTTGCCTGGAAGCGAAAGCGGGGTAGGTAATTCACGCTCTGAGACTGGGCAGGCGGCAAAGCACCCCTGCGCGAGGCCCCCATTCGCGACCCCACAGCCGCCGAAGACCTTGCACTGGAAGCCTGGGACGCCTTGCCACGTATGCTCGCACATCCTGCCCCGGCGTTGTAGCACCGGATGGTTGCCGTGCACGTCGTAGAGCGTCACCCTACCTCGAGGCCCGCAGTCCACTCCAGCCACTGGCCGTCAGCTCCCGTACCTCGCCAGCGCCTCCAGGCCGCCCAAGGCGAGGCGTGAAGCCTTGATGGCCTCCAGGCTCAGGATCCTGAAGTCCGCTGCACCTCCGACATTGTCGTGAAGACCACGGAGCCCACCAGGCCAGCCCCCCCATCACCGCGTCGAGCTCTGTCCCCTTTTAGTCTGCCCCGTACGCGCAGCAGTCGAGCATCACGCCCTCTGCCGTGGGGCAGCAGTCGCCCGCAATCAGGGGGCACCGTGGGTGAGAGTGAGCGCTGCACTCTGGACCGTTTCGGAAGCTGCCACCCAACTGCGGAGACGGCGCGACAACCGTCGTGGAAGCCAGCGCGGGCTTTGGCGACTCGGATGCAGGCGACACGGCGGTCGGCGCGGGCTGCGAGTGCTGGCGCGGGGCTGGCGCGGCAGCCGTCGTGGATGCGGGGGCACGCACTGGCGACGGGGGCTCTGGCGACGTGGGTGCAGGCGGCACGGGCGTCGGCACAGGCTGCAAGCGCAGAGTCGCGGAAGCTGATGCCCGCGCCCGCGCCGGGGGAGATGGCGAAGCGGCAGCAGGCAGCATGGGCGTCGGCGCAGGCTGCAAGCGCGGGGCTGGCGCGGCAGCAGTCGTGGATGCTGGTGCCCGCGCGGGCGACTGGGGCTCTGGCGACCTGGGCGAGGGCGGCATGGGGGTCGGCCCTGGCCGGCCACAGCAGTCGAGTGCCACGCCAGCGCGGGTCGGGCAGCAGTCGCCTGCCAGGTGGGCGCACCGTGGGTGCGCGCTGCACGCGGGTGCAGCGGCGCAGCAGCCGAGATTCACGCCGCCTCGGGTGGGGCAGCAGTCGCCCCTCAGGCCGGCGCAGCCGTGGCTCGCGCTGCAGGCGCGGCTGGCCCCCAAGACCGCGGGCCTCCAGGATCGCTCGCCGCCCGCCGCGCGGGACTCCAAGGGCCGCGGGCCCGAGA